AGTCCCAGCTACTCGGGAGGCTGAGGCAGGAAAATCTCTTGAACCTGGGAGGCGGAGGTTGCAGTGAGCTGAGATGGCGCCATTGCACTCCAGCCTGGGTGAATGCCAGACTCCATCTCAAAACAACAAAAAACCCTCTAAATTTGGTTTTCACTATTGACCCTGAGCCAGCCAGGTCGCTGCGAGCTGCTGCTGGTGATCGCTGAGGGTCACTCAACCTCAATGCCAGCGTATCAGATGGTTTTGTCAGGTTTTCTGAACTTAAAAAAGCACTCGCCATGGTGACTTGAGTAAAAAATAATTACCTATAATGTCTATAGGCTTGTACCCTTCAGTGTAAGTACAGAAAAGACTGAAACAAATTAAGGATCTAATGTTTAAAATGCAGGTTACTATCCAGATTCCCATCTGAAAACTGGTCAGGGTCAGTAATTCTACCTATGGCTAGGAGGATTCTTCTGAGTATTAGGTAGGCGAACGTACCTCAAACGCTTAGCACATTGCCCAGCACGTAAAGCGCTTAGCCAATGTTAGCAGCTGTATGATAGTCCCTTCTAAGAAACATAGTCCCACTCTACAAATGAGGAAACACTGAGAAGTGACATTCTAACCTAAAGTCACCAACGTTCACTCCAGTGGATACTGAGGCTTCTCCTGTAACACTCTACAAAATGTTGTGATCAAGAAATGAAGTAGACCTCCCTCACACCAACGTACACACCCAACCTGCTCCCACAACTGTCGGACTGGGAATGGCAGAAAAGGTAAGAAATCCAGAGAAGTCCCCACAGTGCCAGTTCCCCAAAGGACCAGAGACCACGGTACCTTGGTTGCCCATGGCACTGGGAAGTGTGAGCCATCTCATGGCATGACTGTACCGAGCATAGAGAGTGCTGAATTTACCAGACATCTAGACCATTTGGATTTTTCACCACTGATTTATATAAAGGAATGTGGGAAGCTTTTTTGAAAGAACAGCATTTACCTTGAAGGGCTTTCCTAAAAGAGATGCCTTTTTAAAACAATGCCATAGGATTAGTGGTTAAGTCTCTAACACATGAACAGCATATGCTGCCCAGCTACTGAGGTGAAGAGTCTAAGCTAGATTTATTTCTGAGGAACAAAGACCAAAAGACTGCCTTTAGAGCTCTATACCTAGTCAGTCACCTTGGGCTGAACTACAGAAAGAACTGGACAACTAACACCTAAAACGCTGAAAACAAAGACACATACAATTCCAGGTGTGGATTTTTATTTTCACAAAAAGACAACAATGTCTTCCCACATACAAGTATTTACAAAACCCAACTGATTCACCCATCTAGAACCTGGGTTTTTTTCCACTTCTCAACATAGTTGGGAACATGGAAACATTAATACCCACACAATTCCCAAAGATGGAATTTATCCATCAAACAGTGCAGATTACCTAAAAGTGCACTTACCTGCACAACTCGGTCTAAGAACCTTGTGAAACAAACCTCATGGCCAAGGTTTCATGAATCTATTTGGTTTCATACCATGCAAACCTGAACAAGTGTGCTGCTACACTAAACTGAAAATCGGTTCTCATTTTACAATTAAAAAGGTTCTCAACACTTTAGCAACTATACAGAATATGAAGGTTTATTTCAAAAAAGATTACATTTTTTTTAAACCAGGATACACAGATGCACTTAATGTAACAGTACCTTCTGCAAAAATAGGTTACATAATACTCAGAAATGCAATGAACAATCTTATTCTCTAAAAATTAGACAGCTAAGACTTCTTAAGCATAGACAGCCTTCAAAATGGAGGCTGAAAATGCCTGGTGAAAAGAAGTAACTCTAGAGCCAGACACCACAGAGCTAAGGCTGCAAATTAAACCACTACCACACAGCTGCAAACTACTCTTTATATTCACACAGCGTTAAACAAAACGACTTCAATTCCATCTTTTCAAATGTGTCTCGGTGCTGCAAGAAAAAAAGTTGAATGATACACAAAACTATTAAAAGTTACAACAGAACTATTTAAACATCTTCTCCAAAATTGAGAAAAGCAATCATGTTAAATTTTTAAAAAGAAAAGTCTGACAGAACTCTCAAGCAAGTCAGAGGTCCTTTTCATAAGTAGTCAAGTAAAGTTTACAGGAGATTTCAATAAATTATCATAAAACCATGGCAGAGAGCTCATTTTCAGAATCGTCGTGGAGGTCCACCCTTAAATGGCTTAAATCCGGAGCCACTTCCTCTTGGCATGGAATTGCCACTGATTTGTACAATTCTATTAATTGGGGATGCGTTACTGAAAAAGGTTTAAAAGAAAAAAAGTCAGAGAACAAAGAACAAATCATCACTGCAAATACTTACGCAGCACTTAACATTTGCCAGGCACTGTTCTTGGTACTTTATCCAAAATAAATCATTTACTCTTTTCAACAGTCCCCTGAGGTCTGAACCATTACTAACCCCACTTTACTGATGAAGAAAGAGATCTGGAGGTTGAGGAACTCGTCCAAGGTCACAGAGCTAATAAAATGGTGGAGCAGAGATCTGAACTTGGGCAATCTCACTTTGAAGTCCCATTACTTCAGAAGCCAGTTGCAGATCTGCATGTGGATGGACTACAGCAGCAGATCTCTTAAGTGTGGACCCCAAACCAGTAGCAGTAGCACCAGCTGGGGGCCTGTTAGAAATGCAAATTCTTACCCCCATCTCAGACCACTGAGAAAGAAACTCTGGGGGTGGGACTCCCAGCAACCTGTTTTTCTTTGTTCTTTTAAATATATATATTTTTAGACAGCGTCTCACTCACTTCACCCAGGCTGGAGTGCAGTGGCACAATCATGGCTCACTGTAGCCGCCTTGACTTCCTGGACTCAGGTGATTCTCACACTTCAGCCAGCCACCAGAGTAGCTGGGACTACAGGCAAGTGCCACCATGCTCAGCTAATTTTTTAATTTTTAGTAGAGAAAGGGTTGCACCATGTTGGCCAGGCTGATCTCGAACTCCTGGGCTCAAAAGATCTGCCAGCCTTGGCCTCCCAAAGTACTGGAATTACAGGCAGGAGCCACCACGCCCGGCCAACCTGTGTTTTAACACATC